CTGAGGGGCCGAGGGGGCAAGGGCCAGGGAGAGACCTGCCTGCAGGCACAGCTGCAAAGAGGCCATCCTGATAGAAGAACTGCATCCTGATCGAAGAACTGGATCCTGAGTGTTCCTGATCCTGAATTGCAACCTGTTACTTCCCTAACAAACCCCATAATCATAAGTATTGTCTGTGAGTTCTGTGTGGCCACTTCAATGAATTATCGAATCCAGCTAAGAAGTAGAGAGTGCCGTGGGAAGGACAGATGGTGTCAGAATTGGTAAAAAGGGTTGGCCAGAGGAGGTATGTTTGACCTTTGCCTTATAGGAATAAACCTTGGGCTGTTGATCTTGCTTCTCCTTCCCCTTGTGAAGTTAGAGGAGGACAGATGCCTCCACCACGACATTTTTATAGACTCCAATCTCCAACCTTGAATTTGAAACCTTAGATGAAATGCACTGCAGGACAATGGGTTTCTCTTACATATGGTCATTCTGGCCTTGAGTTTATAGTTCTGACAATATGATTGGCGAGGCCACAATCTTACTATGCTAGTAGGGTGTGCAAAACCACCAAACAGGATTAAATAAGCTTGTGGGAATTGGTCGATTACTATGCAAATTGAGTGATTGTGGTCTACCGAGCAGGTTGGTCAGTTTGTGGTCTGGCTAGGAGGACCACGCCTTGAAATTGAATATAAGAGCCAATCCCGAAGAGGTTGAGGGGGACCTCACTACCATAAAGAAAACCCTGGAGCAGAACACAACCTTTGAAGCTGGGGACCCTATACTGAGAACCTCCTAGACACAGGAGAGAGAGAGTTTTAACACTGAAGACGGCAAGAAATGGCGGCAACCACAGCAGAGCCAAATGGCAGAGAAACAGCTGCAGTAGTAACAGCATCAGGAACAGGCAGATCAGCATGAAGGGGCTGCAGTGGGCTTGCTGGCCCACAGAGCAAGAGAGAGCTGAGCACCTTCGAGCAGGAGGCTTACTGGCAGAATGTGGTGTCTCTGAGCACTTGTTGGAAGAGCTAAAGAGCTGTAATCCTTGCCCAAGTAGGGCAAAGGCCCATAGAAGGGCCACCTGCTTTTGGGCATAGCTGAAAGAAGGGCCGCCTGCTTGTGCGTATGGTTGAGAGAAGGGCCTGCGGGCATGGCCAAAGAGAAGCTGAGAGCTGTCTTGATTGGAAGCTGTCCTGATTGAAGAACTGTATCCTGTCTCCTGAGTAGTATCCTGCTACGTCCAAGTTGATCCTGATCCCGAGTTGTAGCTTGTTACTTCTCTGCCAAACCACATAATCTTGAGTATGGTCTGTGAGTTCTGTATGGCCATTGCAATGAATTATTGAACCCAGCAGAGAAGTAGAGTGTGCCATGGCAGTGACAGGTGGTTTCAGAAACGCTGAAAAATTTTGAGAATGGAGGTATGTCTGAACTCCACCTTATAGGAATCAGCTTTGTGCTGGTCTTCATTCTCATCCCTCCTCCTGAATGCAGACGACGTCTGACACTAGTAGATTATGGGTCCAATTTCAGAAAAAGCAGAAACAAATGAAATAGTCCTGTAAGTATTAACAAAATTGAATTCATAGTTTATAAAACCTTCTGGAAAACGAATCCCCAGGCATGGATGGGCTCACTTGTGATTAAGTAATAAATAACACCAATTCTAAACAATTTCTTCCATCGTAACAGTGTAATGAAGAAAAGCCAAATAACCGTACAAACTGATGCAGACAAGCATTTGACAAAATCCAATACCATTCATGAAAAAAAAATTGCATATCAATTAAGATTACAAGGGAATTTCTTGAAACCAGTAAAGAGTATGTACAAGAAAAGCTCCTGCTAGCATCATATTTAATCGTGAAAGATTAAATACTTCTCCCCTAAAATTATGAACATCACTGGGATGTCCACTCTCACCATTCCTATTCAACATAGTGAAAGTCCTAGCTAGTGAAGTATGGTAAGAAAATAAAAGAAAAACAAAATATACTGGAATGGCAGAAATAAAACTGCCATGATTCGGAGATAATACTAGGTATCTATGTAATCCCAAGGAGTCTACAAAAGAACTCTTAGACTAATGAGTGTATCAAAGTCACAGGGTGCAAGGTCAAAACAAAAATCAATCCTATTTCATAAACTAAGTGAACAAGTGGAAACTAATGAACATGGTAACATTTACCATAGCTCTAATAATATATACTTAAATATGTTGTGTGCTATCAAATAGATTTCAACTCCTAGTGACCCCATGTGACATAGCAGAACTGCCCAATAATGTTTCTTGGCTGTGATCTTCCCAGAAGCAGACAGCCAAGTCTTTTTCCCACAGTGCTGCTGGGTGAGTACAAAACACCAAACTTTTGGTTAGCAGCCAAGTGCTTAACCATTCGTGCCACAAGGGCTCTCTAAAAAGACATACACAGGATGTATATTGTATAAACTAAAAACAAACAAAGTAACAACCTGATAAAAGAAACCAAGGAAAACCAAACTAAATGCAAAGAATCATATTTGTAGGTTGGAAGACTCAACATAGTAAAATATATCAAAACTCCCCCAAACTGAGTTACAGGTTTAATGCACTTCCCATTAACTCGCAACAGTTTTGGTAGGTGCACTTAGCAAGGGACCCGGTGGGCAAGTGCCACCTTCATTGCTAAGGATCAGCATGAATCCAGTTCCCATCTGGAAGTGGATCCAGCCCTCACCTTCCTGCTTCTCCATCTGTGTCACTAGCCACCCAAGCGACACTCTCTCTCATGCCCAGCCACCTTGGGCTAGGTCAGGGAGTTCTAGCTGCAAGCTTGGGGGTCCTCAGATTGACTGAATCATTGATCATGTGATTGATTTAAATCATGCCCCCTTCCTAACCATGTGTAGTGTGTAGCCCCCACACATTCGCACAAAATTTCAACTGTTGCCAGGCAGTTGTAGATAACAAAGACACCTCGATCACTTGGGAAATTTCAAGGGTTATCTTTCAGTAACCAAAGACAAAGTTCAAATTGAGTTTTGTCCCAGAGTCGGCATAGGCAGGCTTATTCTAAGATTTACAGGGAAAAGCAAAGGAACTAGGAAAGATAAAACAATACTGAAAAAGAAAGATAAATCTGGAGAATTCTTAATACTTTATTTTTCAACTAATTATATATCTACAATAATCATGATAGTATGATACTAGCAAAGGGACAGACATACAGATCAACAAAACAGAATAATGAAGAAATGGACCCACACATGCACAATTGATTTTTTTCACAAATATGCAAAAACAGTTTAATGGAAAAAAGACAGTATTTTCAACAAATAGTTTAAGAACAATGGGAAAACCATAGACAAAGAAAATAAACTTTAAACCTCACCCCATATACAAAAACTAACTCAAAATGGATCATAGTTCTATATATCAAAAGCAAAACTGGGATATTTTCTAAAACATATCATTCGTACATTTCACACTGAGTACTTACTCTAGAAAAATGAAAACTCATATTTACACAATACATTTATACAAGAATGATCATGGCATTGTTTGTAACAGTAAAAACAATAAAACCCAGAAACAACTCTGAAGTGCAATGGTTTCTCTTTACATATGCCTTTCTGGCCTTGCATTTATAATTCTGCCAAAATAATTAGCTGAACCACAGTGTGGCAAAGGGATTGGTTAGTCTACTATGCAAATAAGGTGTGTAAAACCCTTGCAGGAATTGGTCAATTATTATGCAAACAGGGTGCCTATGGCCTACTGAGGAGACTGGGTCAGTTTTGCCATCACGCTAGGCTTGAAAGTGCCAATCCCACAGAGGTTGACAAGGATCCCACTACCATCAACAAGAAGAGCCGGGAGCAGAGCACATCCTTTGGACCCATGGTCCCTGCACTGAAAACCTCCTAGACCAAAGACAGAGAGAGCTATTATACTGGAGATGGCAAAAAAACAGCACAGTGGCAGTCCGAGCAAACCAGGAGACCAGTGCGAGACAGCTGTGGTAATCTTCCCAGTGGCTGTAGTAATATCACTGACATATGGAGCTAGAGAACTGACCTCCTTCGGGCAGGATGCTTGCTGGCTGAGTAGGATGCCTCCAGGCACTTGTTGGCAGAGCTAAAGAGCTGTAACACTTTCCTGGCAGAAGCCAAGCCTAAGTGGGGCCGAGAGGGCACAATCGGGAGCAAGATCTGTCTGCAGGCTCAAGGCCTGCCTGCAGGGATGACTGAGAAGAAACTGTGAGCTGTCTTGTCTGAAGACCATCCTGATTGAAGAACTGTGTCCAGAGTTGTATCCAGGTACCCAGAATTGTAGCCTGTTATTTCGCTAATAAACCACATAATTTGAGTATGGTTTGTGAGTTCTGTGTGGCCATTGCAATGAATTATCAAACCCAACATAGAAGCAAGAGTGTCATGGGGAGGAGGGCTGGTGTCAGAATTGGAAAACAGGTTGGAGACTGCAGGTATGTCTGACCTCCATCTCATAGGAATTAGTTTTGGGCTGATCATGATCTTGATTCTCTTCCCTCCTTGTGAAGTATTAGACCTTTGACACTACTACGACTACATTACAAACTCCAATGTCCTTCTGTGGTTGAATGGATAAATAAATCGTGGTATATCCATATATTACTACTCAACAATAAAAATAAAGCAACTGTTGAAACACAGAATAACTTGGATGGACATTAAGGAGACTTTGCTTAAGATAAAATAGCCAATTTCAAAAGGGCATATTCCTTGCAATTCCATTTTTATAACATTGTACAAATGATAAATTAGTATAGATAAACAGATCAATGGTTGCCAAGGGTTAAGGTCAGAGAGAGGGTGCGACTATAAAGGGTTAATATGAGGGAGTATAGGTTAATGTAACAGTTCTGGATCTTAGTTGTGCTGCTAATTACACAAATCTATACATGAGAAAAAATTTATTATAACCACACATAAAAACAAAACAAAAATGTATGCCTTTTAAAATTGATGGTATCTTTGGAAGAAGCTGGGTGAAGGGTACATGGAAATTCTCCAGATTATTTCTGCATGTTTTTGTGAACTTGAACTTATTTTAAAATAAAAACATAGAGAAAATCATATTTATGTTGGTTTCATAAACTATGTGATGCTACTTAATAAACGTCATTAAACATATCCAAAAATGTTGAGTTACACTGATGATACAGACTATGTTCCCACTGTGGTCTTTCCTAGTCTGTCCATTCATATGATTTATCTCAGTATACATCTTTTAGACATAAAATGACCTAGAAACGTTTCATCGAGACTGATTTTTATATTTTATTTGTATATGTTTTCATTGACATACAATATGAGGAAACTGATCATTAAAGACACTACCACTTTGCATTCATTTATTCTTCTGTACAAATACTAATATCCAGGGACCCAAAACTGGAAAGTCTATCCACAATGACTAGGTGTGCATTCTCTTATGTTTAACAAGGATTGACAAGTGGACAAAAGATTTCCCACAATCACTGCATCCGTAGGGCCTCTCTCCTGTATGTTTCCGATGATGAACATTGAGCGCTGACTTTGTGGTGAAGGCTTTTCCACATACACTGCATTCATATGGTTTCTCGCCTGTGTGAATTCTCTGATGAGTAATGAGATCGTACTTGCGCAAAGAGAATTTTCCACATTCAGTACATGCAAAGGAAGTTTTTCCTGTGTGAAATCTCTGATGTTGTATGAGGCATGTCTTCTTTCTGAAGGCTTTACCACACTCATTGCATTTGTAGGGTTCCTCTCTAGTATGAGTTCGCTCATGTATATCTAGAGTACTCTTAATGGTGAAGTCCTTTCCACATTCATTGCACTTATAGGGTTTCTCTCCAGTATGAGTTCGCTGATGTGCGATGAGCATACTTTTCCCAGTTAAGCCTTTTCCACATTCATTGCATATATAGGGTTTCTCTCCAGTATGAGTGCGCCGATGTACATTGAGATGGCTCTTCTCAGTGAAGCCTTTTCCACATTCATTGCATACATAGGGCTTCTCTCCAGTGTGAGTTCGCTGATGTCCAACCAGTCGGATCTTTGCTGGGAAGGCTTTTCCGCATTCATTGCACACATAAGGTTTCTCTCCTGTATGAGTTCGTTGATGTACAATCAGACGGTTTTTCACAGTGAAGCCTTTTCCACAATCACTGCATACATATGGTTTCTCTGCAGTATGAGTACGCTGATGTACGATGAGATCGCTCTTCATGGTGAAGCCTTTTCCACATTCACTGCATACATAGGGTTTCTCTCCTGTATGTGTTCGCTGATGTCTGATAAGAGGGTTCTTCAGGGGGAAGCCTTTTCCACACTCATTGCATATAAAGGGTTTCTCTCCAGTATGAGTTCGCTGATGTATGATGAGACGTCTCTTCTCAAAGAAGACTCTTCCACATTCATTGCATGTATACGGCTTCTCTCCTGTATGAGTTTTCTGATGAGTAGTGAGACTGAACTTTGTAGAAAAGGCTTTCCCACATAGATTGCACCCATGAGGTTTCTCTCCTGTATGAGTTCGCTGATGATAAATAAGCCGACACTTCTTGCTGAATGCTCTCCCACATTCATTGCATGCATAAGGTTTCTCTCCCATATGAGTTTTCTGATGTATACTGAGTTGTGATTTCTTCAGAAATGTTTTGCCACATTCAGTACATTCATAGTGTTTCAGTCCTGCATGAGTTCTCCAATGTTCAATAAGCCTGGACTTTCTGGAAAATGCTTTCCCACACATACTGCATCCATGAGGTTTCTCTCCTGTATGAACCTTCTGATGATCAATGAACTGAGACTTTTTGATGAAGCCTTTCCCACATTCACTGCATACATGGGCTTTCTCTAATTTAGCAGTTCTCTGATGCTTAATCACCTGAGACTTGTAGCTGTTCAGTTTTACACTTTCATGAAATTTATTATCAGTATAAAGTTGTTCATGCTTATCATGGAGAAAGGATTGTCCATATCTATTAAACTCAGTAAAGTTTTTCAGTTCACAGCTTCTGTTCTGGTTTTCTAAACTTAAATTTGATTTTAAAGTTTTTCCATGCAAGTCAAACATGTCATGGTGTTGCTTTAATGGAAAATTACTTTTTCTTTGATTAAAAATGCTTCCAAATGCATTACGTTCATAGCATTGTTCCATACACTTCTGAATTCTCTTTTGCAAGTGTCGTTGGAGATGATAATCAACTTTCCTGATTTCTAGGACAGATGAAGACAATGAAATTAATCGTTTCATAACCTCAGTTTGGCACAAAAGTATTTTAAGACTACTTTGGTGTATGAAGAGTCTTTAGTGACAACCCAATAATATCAGTATAAAGAAAAACCCTCCATAAATGTTCCTTATCTCTTGCACATTGGTAAAAACACAATAATGTAAACTTGAGAAAAGGTAAAAGCAGTCAGTGTACAAACAAGGCTACATGATTTACAATCACTATAGATCTGGCTGCTTTCTAAATAGATCCTTACAAAACATACCAACAGCAACAAAAAACCCAACGCAGTTTTCAACCACCACAACAATAACAAAAATTACTGAAAAAGAAAACCCAAAGCACTTAACATAGAGTTGATCAAGTTGTAAGATAATATAAACAGGGATCAGATTTCCAAAGAGAAATAAAAGGATTCTCCTATGACAAGGGGATTGGTGGAGGGGTGTTTACATACCTAAGACACCCTCAGAACTGTGGCGCTCTCTGAATGTCTAGAATGATTTCCTCAACCATCCACTTTTTCACTCACCTGGAGAGATCTGACAGTGGACTTCATCTTCTATTGTCCACAGTTCTTCTCCTTGTTCCAACTTGGAGAGTCCATCTGGTTTGCCAGCTTGATACCCTGTTCACAGAAAATGACAGAAGAATTAAACATGCTGAACTGGGCGGTGGTATATGAAGAAGGAAAAATGTTACATTTAGGGACCACAGTTTTCACATCTGCAAAATCAAGGCTTTTCTCTCAGAAGAGGGCATCTTACACCCTTTTGCCTAGGGCAAGAAAAGAATCTGAGAATCTATCACTTACAAGTACTATAGATACTCTGAAGAGTTACTTAGTGACACAGGAGAGCTTTCTCACCCACTGACACTAGGTTGTTGTAGTTCTCCAACATCACGTCCCGGTACAAGTCCTTCTGATCAGGACCAAGGAGCTGCCACTCTGCCCAGGTGAATTCCACAGCAACATCATCGAATGTCAGTGATTCCTGTAATAACAGCGTTCTGTTTAATGAAGTAATTTTTTTGATGATATGAAAGAAATCTAAAGGAAGGTATTCTGCTCTTTTTACCATACAGGAAATTTTTTTTTTCTTAATCCATTGTGACAGAATCAAAATCCTTGTAAAATATTCTTAAGCATGTAGTCATCCATTCATCCAAGAAAGCTTAAAATTCAAGAATTTTCTGTAATAGGTAGGCAGTAAACACACTTACTAGGATAGAACCTTGATATATACATATATAATCTACTTGCCAATACTAAATTATACGCTATTTATACATAAATCAACATATTCACGATAATCCTTCAGTGCCAACATCAAAATCAGCAATGAAGAGACTCTAGATGTTAGAATCACAAGGCAGTATATACTAAATAAATGTGTTTAACATACCAAACAAAATAAATCAAACAAAATTTGTAAGAAGCACAGGAGATTGAGAAAATTGGAAAAAAGTTATTCTTAGAAGAATATATATATAAATTATATATGTTACGTATATAAATTATACATATTCTTAGGAGAATATATATAAATTATATATAACATATATAAATTGAATAAATCATACCATTAATCACTTAGATTGTATATATAAAAATACGATTACTAATATTTTATGCAAATTTTAAATCTTCTTAGGAGAATATATATAAATTATATATATATGACTATTATTCAAATTTACACACCAACCACTAAGGACAAAGAGGAAAAAATTGAAGATTTTTACCAACTTCTGCAGTCTGAAATTGCTCAAACATGCAATCAAGATGCATTGATAATTACTGGTGATTGTAATGTGAAAGCCGGAAACAAAGAAGAAAGATCAGTAGTTGGAAAATATGGTCTTGGCAAGAGAAACAATGCTGGAGATCGCATGGTAGAATTTTGCAAGACCAACAATTTCTTCATTGCAAATACCTTTTTTCAACAACATAAACGGTAACTATACACGTGAACTTCACCAGATGGAATACACAGGAATCAAATTGACTACATTTGTGGAAAGAGACGATGGAGAAGCTCAATATCAGTCAGAACAAGGCCAGGGGCCGACTGCAGAACAGACCATCAATTGCTCATATGCAAGTTCAAGTTGAAACTGAAGAAAATTAGAAAAAGTCCACGAGAGCCAAGGTAGGATCCTGAATATATCCCACTTGAATTTAGAGACCATCTCACGAATAGATTTGATGCATTGAACACTAATGACCAAAGATCAGATGAGTTGTGGAATATTGAAGGATTCTACAGGGAAATTATTAAATGACACAGGAAGCACCAAAAGAGGATGGAAGGAATACGCGGAGTCACCCTTCCAAAAAGAACTGGTAGGAGGTAGCATATGATCAGCATATGATCAGCATATGATCAATGGTACTGAAGGAAGAAGTCCAAGCTGCACTGAAGTCATTGGTGAAAAACAAGGCTCTAGGAATTGATGGAATATCAACTGAGATGTTTCAATGAACGGATGCAGCACTGGAAGCGCTCACTTGTCTACGACAAGCAATTTGGAAAATGGCCAAACTACTGGGAGAGATCCATATTTTTGCCTATTCCCAAGAAAAGTGATCCAACCAAATGTGGAAATTATAAAAGAATATATCATTTGGTTGGATCACCTTTGGTTGTGTTATGCAGATGATACAACCTGGCTTGCTGAAAGTGAAGAGGACTTGAAACATTTCTGATGAAGATCAAAGACTACACCCTTCAATATGGATTACACCTCAACATAAATAAAACAAAAATCTTCACAACTGGACCAATAAGCAACATCATGATAAATGGAGAAAAGATTGAAGCTGTGAAGGATTTCATTTTACTTGGATCCACAATCAATGCCCATGGAAGTAGCAGTTAAGAAATCAAAAGATACATTGCATTGGGCAAATCTGCTGCAAAAGACCTCTTTAAAGTGTTGAAAAGCAAAGATGTCACCTTGAAGACTAAGGTGTACCTGACCAAAACCCTAGTGTTCTCAATTGCCTCATATTCATGCCAAAGCTGGAAAATGAATAAGGAAGACCAAAGAAGAATTGATGCCTTTGAATTGTAGTGTTAGCAAAGAATATTGAATATATCATGGACTGCCAAAAGAACGAACAAATCCGTCTTGGAAAACGTACAACCAGAATGCTCCTTAGAAGCAAGGATGGCGAGATTCCTTCTCACATACTTTGGACATGTTATCAGGAGGGATCAGTTCCTGGATAAGGACATCATGTTTGGTGAAGTGGAGGGTCAGTGAAAAAGAGGAAGAAACTCAGTGAGATGGACTGACACAGTTGCTGCAACAATGGGCTCAAGCATAACAAGGATTGTGAGGATGGTGCAGGACTGGGCAGTGTTTCCTTCTGTTGTACGTAGGGTTGCTATGAGTCGGAACCAACTCAACAGCACGTAACAACAATAACAGCATATATATGCACACAGACATATACATATGTATGTGTATATATTATTAAACATGTTACTACCATATTCAATACGATTAGATACATATCACACATAATTAATGAACTATGCACTTGAGGAAAACATCCAAAATGAAAAGGAATCAAAGACATGGAAAGAAAATATAAAGGAGAGGTTAAAATATAGAGAGAATAGAATGAAAGCATCTTACGGGTTGAATTGTGTCCCCCAAAATTATGTATTATAAATTCTCACCTCTATGCCTATGGTTATAATCACATTTGGGAATGAGTTTTCTTTGTCACATTAATGAGACAGATTACTGTAGGGTGTGTCTTGAGTCTAATATTGTTTAACCTTTTGAGTTTTGGTGACTTTCTTCTGGGATCTACCTTGTGTGGGGTTAGATGACCATCTTGGATAGACATCTTTTCATCTTTCACGATATCAGGGAAGTTTCCTGCCAACAAATCTTCAATAATTATCTCTGTATTTTCTGTTATCCCCCCATGTTCTGGTACTCGTAGGTTACTCCTCTTGATAAGAGTCCCACATAATTCTTAGCGTTTCTTCATTTTTTAAAATTCTTTTATCTGATTTTTCCTCAAGTTGGTGTCAAGTGCTTTATCTTCAACCTCACTAGTTTTAACTTCCATTGCCTCAATTCTACTCCTATAGCTTTCTATTGAGTTGTCTAATTCTGAAATTTTATTGTTAATCTGGATTTCTGTTTGCTCTCTATGGATTCTTGCAGCCAGTTATATTGCCATTGTGCTCTTCTATAATCTTCTTAAATTGCTCTATTGTTTTGTCTGTATGTTCCTTGACTTGTTCTGTGTTTTGCCTGATCTCCTTTCTGATATCTTGAAGACTTCTGTATATTAATCTTCTGTATTCTACTTCCAGTAATTCCAAGAAGTTCTCTTCCTCCAAAAAATTTCTTGACTCTTTGTTTTGGGACCTTGCTGAAGTCATCATGTTCTGCCTCTTTACGTGATTTGATATTGACTGTTGTCTCCGAGCCATCAATAAGTTATATTAATTTTATGTTTGTTTACTGTGCCCTAGCTTCTTGTTTTGTTTTGATATGCCCAAAGAGACTGCTCGTGTAAGCTAGTTTGTTATTGGCACCTTTGAAGTTCTAACGTCCTGTCACCAGGTGGTTAGATCTGTTACTAGGTATGTGAGCCAAGAGTCTGTTTACTTTTCTGGTATGGATTGGAGCTCAGGTGTCCAGATTGATGGTCACCAAGTGTGTGGTGCAGGCTCTCACTTACAGTCCTAGAAGGGCAGGGGTGATTGTAGTAGACACAGGTATCTGGCTGTAGTAGGGGATCATGCGCTGAGCAAGGCAGGGGACTGACGGCTACCCGAGTGTCTGGGAAGAAAGTGTGTCCCTGTTCTCTAAAATGCATAGGTGGGTGAGTTCTGCAACCAGACTATGGGTACCCAATGCTGTTGGCTGTTAAGGACTGGGAGTCACCACTTATTCCTGGACACCTGTCAGAGGTGGCCAGGTGGTGTGGGTGGAGCTACCAGTCCTCAGGCCCCTGATATGGGTAGGTGAGGACCCTGCTTAATGGGCAGAGTGGTATCAACTGTTACAAACCTGTCACTCCACCATATAGCTGATACAGTGAAGTTAGGCTTCAGCTATATACCCTGTTGTACTGTGCTAATGAGGGCCTACGCTGCTGAAATGGGTTCACACAGGTCTATGCAGGTGTGAAGGACATTCAAAGTCCATGGACCCTTTATGCCTGTGCCTAAGCAAAGGAGCTGTGCCTGCCCTGAGTTCCCGGGTTAGGGGAGCTGGCAGATTATTTTTTCCTGTTCATTAATTTGTTCCCACTCCAAGGCTGGAAGAATGGCTCAGGGAGCATGATGGGTCCCACTTCCGGCTCAGGACCCAGTGCAGAGCAGGGAGGGAGCAGGTAAACGGGAGTGAGGTTCTTTCCAAACAGGGTGTTTTTTGATCTGTGCGGTAGGTTAAATGTACGTACTTATCTTTTGCGTATTGAACGCCACTTTTCACTGGCTCTGGAGGCCTGAGCAGATTCTCTGCCACTCTGTCTCTCCTAATGATGAAAATGCTTCCAGAACTCCACTGCCTGCCTCGCCGCACACCCCAGTTGATCTGGCCCGCCAGTCGCCAGCTCCCGCCGGGTCAGATCTGGCAACTCCTTGCTGCTTCTGAACCATTGCTCCCTCCCCCTGCCACTCAGTCTGATTCCTCAATTTTGTCTTTGATGTTCAGGGCTTCTAGCTTGTCATATATAATCAGTTCACTTGTTTTTTTGGGTCTTTGTTGTAAGAGGGACCACCGGAGGCATATGACTACTCTGCCATCTTGGCCCTGCCTGTAATCTTTTGAGATATAAAAGAGATTAAACAAGCAAGGGATAAGCAAAGCTGGGGTAAGAGAGATGCCAAGCCCACATGGAGATCTCTAAGGAAACAGGAAACAAGCTGAAGAGACATGGACCTTCCTCTTGAGCCAACAGAGAGATAAAGCCTTTCTGCAGCACCATGGATTCAGACATCGAGCCTCCTAAACA